CAAACCCTCTCTTAGGCTGTCTCTGGCTATGATAGTCATGGTACATTATGTCCTGAATTTGATGCATCAGAATATTAGTTGCTGGAAATACATAAATGGGAAGGAGGATTCTGCTCTTGGTCTGTGCGTGGACTGTCTGGTGGACTTCTGATTTCAACCCACCAAGGCTTTTTTTAGGAACACTTCTCACATGTCCCTGAACCCCACCAAATTGACTTGGCTAGAGCCCAAGGTACAAGTTCAGTCTAAACCATTACTGAATTTATATGGCAAAGGCTGTAAGACATGTAGATAATATAATAGAAAATTCTATTTCATTTGGTCTGGACACCTCCAAGAATGTTTAAGAGTTGTTGCTGCAGTTGCAATTGAGAAATTGGAACATTAACTTATATGGTCTGGACTTGCCTGACTATTGCTACATTTTGGGCTGAGATCCATAGGATTGTTAACACAAATTTAGATCGATCTTGGTTGGTTAAATAATGGTTATGTTTTGCTTGGCTATATCCCCAGCATTTGGAATCTATCAAGACACCAAGAACTATGGATCTTTTGTGCATGGGAGACAGCCAAAATAATTATTATACAACATTTGGAAGGACAAATTTGTACCTGACTTGCAGCAAGGGATTGCTGATAAGTGCATTTGAGTTAGAGTACTTTGATTTTTATATAAAAAGGGGCAAGGAAGGGGAATGAGCAATTCAATCAACTTCTAAGAGTAGTTCTGTACATGAGATAAATTTCCAGGCCTTCTCCCCCACCCCCTTCTCCTTAGATACGTCTGTCTACATCATCTGTTTCTGGGTGGTGAAGACACACATAACCAAATGGATTCCATCTCCCTTGATAACATATTTCAAATTTCTAATACACACTAGGAATAAATAGTGGAAGAATTTTACAGAGAGTGACATTTGCAAAACAGCATCCTTTAAAGAACGCAAACAAGGACCTTCGCACCAATCAAATCTTAAAATGCAAACTCTATACATGTTTAGATTCTCTCCCTCCCTCTCTCTCTCAAATACATGTTAAAGTCCATATATAATATTTTTATTGTAGGATTGAAGCACGAATTCATTTATTGTTTGTTTATAGGCTTTGTTAACTGGGCTTCAGCAATCGCATCCCAAAGATATGCAGAACTCTTCGGTAAATCTTAACAGCCTCTCGTTCAAATTAACAAAAATCAATGCGGCCAAACGCTCATCAGATAAAACCACATGAAACAAAATGAAAAGAAAAACTTCTGAACGATAGGACTTACATAGTATTAAAATATTCCATTCCACTCACTCTCCATGCTAAACTGATAGAGTCCATAAGAGTTTCATCATATAGTTTGGCATAGAGAAATGATGTTTATATTACCTTAACTCACTCTAGTTTGACTCTTCCTCCCTCCAACTATCCTACAGATAATTAAGCTACTTCCCTTAGGAATATGAAATGTCATAATAATATGAACAAAAAATAGGGATATCCAACAGAATTTTTAGCATATACAGAGAGTTGTCAGAGCTATTATTTATTTATTTGTCACAGTTGTCACATTTATATATTGGGTGAAAGTCTCAAATGTTACACAGATGGTTCATGTGGATGGAGCTAAAATGAAGACCATCTTCATGCTATCAAGACCGTTCCTATCTGATGTGTTGAATTGAATGAATTGTTTCCAGGTATAGCTTAAGAATAAACCCTGCATCTGGGTTGGAGTAGGCCAAGGAGGTAAGGACAGATCAACAAGGAAAAGGGAGCAAATCAGTTCCTGATTTGTTTCAAGATGCTGAAAAAGTCACCAAAATGCAAAGTCTCTTTGCAGCTTTGGGACAAGTTTGTAGAGTTTTGGAATAGCAAGAAGAATGAAGGCTCAATAATAAAGATGACTCAACAGCAGCTATTTTGTTGCAGAACCAACTCCTTCGTAATGGCTTAAAAAACAGGAAGGAAAATTCCAAGAAACAATATTCCTTCCTTGGGGAGAATTCTCCTTGAATGGCATTAATAGTGACTAGATATGATACATCAGTATTCCTCAACCTTGACAAGTGGAAGATGGGTGGACTTCAACTCCCAGAATTCCCCAGCCAGCATGGCTGGCTGGGGAATTCTGGAAGTTGAAGTCCACCCATCTTCCAGTTGCCAAGGTTGAGGAACACTGTGATACATTACAAATTCTCGTCCTTCCCTATCATGCGATGATCAACCCACAATATACATATGCGGTAATGAAGCATACAAAATGAAGCACCCTGAATTTTGCATTGAAGTAATTTCCTAGGCCAGGTGTGACACCCACAGCCACCAAACTTCAATTTCTTTTCATTGATTTTAAATAAAACAAATAAAATAAATCAGGAACTTGGAAAGCTGGAAGGCAAGAGGCCATCCTCTAGCAATGTTTGTATTTAGATGAATGCCTCTTAGAAAATAAAAATGGTAGGGGGTCACAGTCCAGTGCTTTATTTGGAATGTGACCTCCAGCTAAAGAAATAAGGCAAAGTTACACTGGGATTATTTTAAGGGCTGGAAGGGATGCTAGAGAGCAACTTCACTGGTTTGTTTTTGGTAAATGGGTATTTTGTGACTGGTCAAACCCAACACACCAGCCATTGTGGGGTGCTGAAATGCCATACAGTGTATGCCCACTGGTCCACAAAGGTTGCCCATCTCTGCCTTTAAGCTACGTCCAAGTCAGTAACCTTCAACCCTTTTTAATACAGGTTCGGTCATGTTCCATATCCAGGCTAAGCAGTAAACTATAGATCTCCAGACGCTTAATCCTTAGTCAGCTGTTGGCTAGACTTTTCAGAAAGCTGCCATACATCACTTGGATTTTTAAAAACATTATGTTGCAGAGAAGAATGAAGCTTTAACACAATGGCTGACTGCCCATAGCAGCGCAAAGGAACCAGAACTTTCATATGTCTATCCTGCAGTGTTTAAGTTTCTTCCTTCTGCCTTGCCAAGTTCATGGATATTTGGTGGCTCCCTTGGTGGCCTTAAGCAGTTGAGATGTTTAAACAACGATCCTTGTTAGCCTAGGAGCCACGGGTTTTCATCTTGCCCCTTTCAGCTTTTACCGGGTTCCCCTTTCGTACAAACAGGCATTTTGATTATATTTAACCATAGATTTGCACAATAGTAGTGATGCTGGATCAGGGTGTGATTTAGCCATAATCTCAACCTAGCATCTCAGTTATGAGTAACCAAGGGGCTGCTTCATTCATGCACATGACATTTATCAACACTGTTTGCATGATAATCCAGAATGCCTTATACATTTCCCTCACATCACCTTTAAAGCATTATTTTGTAACATTAGCGCAGTTGGATACTGTCCAGCAGATTTGAGAAATCCAAGAATTTATGTCCATGTTTGCAACTAGGCTTCACTCTTGCTAATTTGTACAGATTTGCTTATTTTATGCTGTTTTCCAGGGAAATCACAAGGTATTCCATTCAAACAAAGACTGGGCCCCTGTGGTGAAGGGGTTGCTCAAAGCCACGTTTTGCTATGTTCCCCTTATTATAAAGATGCACTGTTGCTGCTAATAACTCCCCGTGTAGTCAGATTTACAGGCCACCTGGATTTATTTTATTTAGTTGACGTTGTCTGATCAATGTGATTTTATTTCTCTGAATGTGGTTATGTTTTCCTTCACTGTTTGTAAAACATGTTATACTTTGACCACATCAGTTTTATAATGAAGTTTTATTACAATTGTTAATTCCTATCTTAGAATTTATTTTCCCTTTAATTGATTAATGGCTGTAATAAAATTTACTGCATTGCATTGCTTATTTTATGTAACTTGACTCCCTTTTCAACTGCTATCTCTGAATTGTGCCCAGAGATTAGAATTGGAAGCAGGGCCCACAAGCCACTGTGTAAATCAGACCACTTTAAATGCATGGTTTACTAAAAGCATAAAGGGAGGAGGGGGGCAGATGTTCAGGTCCCAAATCCTGTAATTCTATAACACTGTGACTCAGGAAGGAGGGGAAAAAAGGCAGGAAAGATTGTTACTTACTGCCAAGGTAGGCTTATGCTGTTGGATGGGACGGATGAGTTCTGCTGCATGAAGCAGTCTTGGCTTACAGCAAGAAGGAGGTGGTGGGGTGGGGGTTAAAGTTCCTGCTAAGGGAGCACGAGAAGTGGGTCCATATCTCAAGTTCCTGCTGCTTCTGGAGTGCTGGTGGAGAGAGAAAGCCTTAGAAATCAAGACAGATTCTGTCGAGGTTTGGTTTAAGGGATGCATGACAGCCATCAACTTCTTCTTGGCTGCTTCCAACTCATTCTTCATGTTGTTTAAAAAAAATGCTGGTTGCTTCGGCTTGCCCAAAGGTAACTTTGGGCAACTGCTTTCTGACACAGCAGATAGGTCCCCTGGTGAAGTCTTCGGTCTGCTTTGGGGAAGACTTAAAAAGTGAGGTAGAGTGCTGGGCATTCGTTTGGTGATGGCTAAAGGTGCTTCACTATCATGTTCTACAGGGGTGGCTGAGGAATATTCCTTGCCTTCTGAACATTCCTGCTCCTCAAGGCACTGGTCCACATTCCCCCTTTTTGTCAACTTCCCTCTGCTCCCAGTGCAGTTGAGCTTCTCAGATGTGGTGCCCAGACTCATACATCTTCGGACAGGTGTTGTATCCTTGGCTTTGCAACCTGTTGCCTCGTGGCTGCCAGCCATGTTTTCTTTAGAGTCCACCAACAGAAGCCAACAAGGAGGAGCTGTGGGGTACATGTCAGCAGTCACACTAAACCAGGGAATGTCTTGTCGTGAGGCAGAGTCTATCCAGTAGAGGACCTTTTTCTCTAGTGAAAAATCATGCTGTCGAAAGGCAAGAACATTAAATGTTAGTATCTTCCCAGCCAAGCTAAACAAGTAAAGATGAGACAGAATATATGAGCTGATTTCCGGTCCAATGTCACAATATGTAATGGTATGTGGGAAAGACCTTGGGAGATGGGGGGAAGAGATGCTGCCTAGGGAATGGTCAGATAAGAGGGAGCATAGCCCACAGCTGCATAATGGACCGAGAAAGAAACTCAGAAAGGAACCTCATTAGCTTCTCGGGCTGTAAAAAGGACAGCAGGAGATTTGTACCTTCAGACTTGCAAGTTTCTATTAATATAGCTTTACAATAAAGTAGAATTAGTTTATCTGGTCGTGTTTCCTGTCTGGTCTACCTGGCAAGACTGACAACTGATAGTTCTTTCCCTATTTTGTGTATCAATAGATTTGACTGTTTTAAATAGGAAGTATGAGGACCATAAGCAAATACATACACAAACTGACATGAGGAGATGGCTTCTGAAAATCTTCACCATTATAGCAAAAAGGATTTTAAGATGATTTCTGAAGGAGCCTCATTACAAAAATGCAAGGATGCTCTCTGCTGGTGGGAATGTTCTGAATACAGAACACAATAGGAAAAAGCAAAGCAGTGAAATGTTCAAACCCAACTTTCTAAGTTACTGAAGACTGTCTTCATACAGTGTCAGAAATCTCTTGGCAATAACTGTAACCTAGGGTGGGT